AAGAGCCCAAGAAACAACAGCAGAAGGAAGAACTGTTGTGCGCACCAAAACTTTGTCGGGCGGCCTCAAATATGAGGTTATTCGTCCCGGCCACGGTGGCACTCCTTGCCCTGCCGGTAAAACTGCGAAGGTAGGAATAGTTTATTTTCTGAAGTAATCGCGGATGGCTGGCGATAGGTGAGATACGCTGGTCGTTTGGCGAAGAACGGAAAGCAGTTCGACAAGGGTTCCATCAACTTCCGTGTGGGCATGGGTGAAGTCATCAAGGGATGGGATATGTCCGTGAAGGGTATGCAGGTCGGAGAGGTGAGTTCGGGATGAGGTAGTGTAGTTGGTCTGTTTGCTTATGATATCGCCAGGTCCGTAAATTGTTCGTGCCTGCACATCTTGCTTATGGCCGCGGTGGCGCTCCCCCCGCTATCCCTCCGAACGCCGATCTTGTCTTCGACATGGAGTTGCTCAACATCCAAGGTAATGCAAGGACGATGACCGCCCACCCAACATGTACCCCCGCAGGCGGCAAGAAGAAGGCCGGTCGCCGTTAAGGCTCTTTACTTGAGAGGCGATGACTATACTACCAACGCCAAACGTTAAACCCGTTTCTTACAATCGTGGTATGTCGCGTGACAAGTTACTTTGCTAGATCGAAACGGGAACACTGATTAACAGCTCCCGGGAAGTGCATGCGCTCCGATGGTCATCACTCCGACAGTAATATACCTGGCGATGTCAGGTGGAATATATCAGGTGTCGATGGGAGAGTGTATGAAGGTGAAACATTCAGCCTCTTGAAACTTGTGAGAACTAAACATGAGATCAGCGCACAATTATGATATGCTGATAAGATAACGCTCCCCAGCGTGGAACCGCATGCGACTACCGTCCTAACGCCCGACTAATGCCAGAACTAATAATTTATCGTTTCAGTTTCCAATGATCTTGGACGTATCGAGGATCTAACTCCTGACCAATTGCCATGCAGGTGTTATACCCTAACACCGCGCACATGGCGCGACAAAGTGATTTATGTGGGTTTCGCGGCTGACGAACTAGCAGCATAGTTGTTGCCGATAATGGCTAGCCCTCGAATATTTTCCTCAACGTTTGCTAGGGAGTTCGATTTCTTATACCGCACATCCGATAGAAATATGTAACTCATCTGGCTTTCGGAGCTGGGCGTCTACTGAACCATGTGATTCATCCCGATTCACGGACGTGTCGAGAATTGTATCCCGGGC